TTGGCCTTCTTGGCCACAAGGGCACACTGCTGCCTCATGCTTCACTTGTTGTCCACCAGCACTCCCAGGTCCTTCTCTGCAGAGCTACTTTCCAGCAGGTCAACCCCCAGCCTGTCCTGCTGCATGAGGTTATTCCTGCCTAGGTGCAGGACCCTGCACTTGCCTTTGTTGAACTTCAGGAGGTTCCTCTCCGCCCAGCTCTCCAGCCTGTCCAGCTCCCTCTCAATGGCAGCACAGCCTTCTGGTGTGTCAGCCACTCCCCCCAGTTTAGTATCATCAGCCAACTTGCTGAGGGTGCACTCTGTCCCTTCCTCCAGGTCATTGATGACTACATCAGTGGACAGTCCTGGATCCAGGACTGACCCCTGGGGGACACCACTAGCTACAGGATCTAGCTACACTACCTTATTTTCTAGATAGAAAAAAGTCAAATTTTCCTTTTGAAGGTTTGGGGTATTGGGTTTAATAGAAAGGCTGTAGTTCTTCCCCATATAAATGAATGTAACCTCCTCATGGAATCCAAGCCTATGAAAGTAACTGCTGTCATTGGAAATGGGGAGATGGCAGTGTCCTGAGTGCAGGAAAGCCAGTCATACCACTACTGAGTGGTAAAATCTGTTGAAATCATGAGCTCTTGTTTGTGATTCATGAGTAGGAAGATGGTTTCCCACCTAATAAGTTATTAAAGTATAACTTAACAGAAGAACAAGAAGAAGCAGTGTGCCTAACAGAGAACAGTGGACTCAATTTATTCGGTAAACTGCTAAGTTCTGTTCCCAGTTCTGCCAATGGATGATCTTAGGTATGCAATTTAATTCCCCTGTATCTGAGCTTTTGCATCCATACCATAGAACTCTGGGATCTCTTAGTAAAAGGTGCTGTAGGAGATGATTACTTGGTGTTACTAAGTTGCTAAGAACACCATATATGAATGAACAATGCTGAGTGGGTGTTGTTTACCAAAGAGAGAAGTAGCTCTGGTATGTAGTGAGCTTCTCAGGCTAGTGGAAGTCATGACAGATCTGGCATGGTGCCAGACAGCCAGCTGAAGAAGTGGCTTATGAGATGCCCTTTA